CTAAGGTTTGGGTGTGATTCATTAGAAGCTTCCACACTATTGGGGCTAGCATTCCAAGAAAGGTTCTTCAAAGTACATTGCTATTTTCGATAATAGCATGTTTATTAAACCTTTGTGATTTCGATTTTAGCTTAGGTTATTTAGAAGTTTCAAAGTATGTTGTTATTATGAGAAAATTCATAGAAATTTCTAGGATTGCATGTGCCCATAAGTTAGTTATGTGAAATTCCGCAAATACATTGAAGTAATTTAGAAAACCCATCAATTTTATCCCCTACATATATTCCTCAAGTCATGAGAACATTTTAAATGGTTTGAGGTCAAACGGATCAATAGAACGAAAGTTACAACATTTTCAAAATCTTCTCAGCTTTCTACTCGATTAGTGGATTTTTGCATTGCATTTCCACTCTACCAAGTGAATTCACAGACAATGCAATTTCAAAGTTTTGGCATTTTAAGCCTTTAAAACATGTCTAAATCCATCATAACTTCCTTCCTTCAGCTCCTAATGACTTAGTATGATTATCTAATATTCAATTACATGTTTAAACACTAAAAAACATCTAAACAAAGTATTAGATCAAAAATTTACAAACTAAAATGAAGATCAAATGGATATGGATTTACGTTTCAAAACGTTGATTAACTTCCACGCAATCTCACTTTAGCTTTCCAAATATGATTTAAGCTTCAAATGATGATTAAATACCATCAAACATAATCCTAATTGATGATGCAAGTTATATTTAAGATGTGAATTCATGTTTCAGTGGGTTGCAAGCCAATTTAAACCAAATGAGAGCTAGAATTTCAATGGAGCTCAAATACAATCTCATAAATCCATAATCTATTAATAATGGAGTTGAATAGATTGAACTAGTAACTTAAATAAGAAGTTTAAGCTATGATTCCAAATGAAATCAATCAAAATTGAAATCTAGTGGATAAATTCATAACTTCCAATATCTAGGGCTTGAAACCTTCCGAAACCTTCATTAATTCAAATTCCAATTTACAAGTGACGAATTGAATCTAGTATTGTAATCTAAACTTAGAATCACCATCAAATATATAAAAAAATAGAAAATAAAATATAAAAGAAAAATTATGGTAGAAATTTATCTTTATATTCTTACTTTTTTTTATTTTTCGTTTTAGTTTAAACTGCCGGTATATTATATATGATGACATTATACATATAACATACTAAGGGGTATTAAAAACAAAGATGAATAGAACAAAGGGTAATAATGGATCATCATTTTCGCATAAAATTCTCTTAATCTTATCTATAGCAATAATATAATAAAATAATTGACAAATTATAATTGAAGAAATGTTTTCCAACCCCACTATAACTTTTGAGTAAATAATTGGCAAAAGAAATATGCTTTTTTTGCATACAACCAAATATTATGTTCCTTATAAATTTATAATTATAAAAACTTGGAAAGTATGAATATTCATATAATCTAACGAAATATCATTATAAAATACAAGCCGCTTATTAAACAAAACTCTTAACCTTTATCTGCTTGAAATTATTGTTCTTTTCTTCTTAGGTGTACACACAAGAAACATGCACCAATGTATTACTCAAGTCTATTTAGCATTTAGTAATAAATTTCATAAATTGTGCCAAAAGACATTTTAATTACTCCGATCCTAATTGTAACTAGTATTTATTGTTTAATTATACGACTAAATCACAAAACTTGATGTCAGTTTATTTTGGTCGTGAAATTGCAACATTCATAAGTGAAAAATTTTAAGACTTAGGCTCTTTGTTTTTTTTTCAGAAAAAACATCTTCAGATCATTTTTTGTTGCACGGTGCAGTACACGCGTAGCACTTTCCCTCTCGCAGCTGTTTGTTTTTTGGAAACTTCAGAGTACAAAACATATGTGCATGTTCTGCACGGCGCAACACTTGACTTGTCTCTTCATCTTTCATTTTTTCCAAATGGTTTTTTTTAGAAATTAGGTATAACTTTGATTTTTTTTAACTTTGATTAACGGATTGATACAATTTTTTTTATAGTTTCCACAATTTCTTATAACTTGATTTTTTTTAATTTTTTTATCGTTTTTTAATAATATTTTCAGTTTTGGTTGTATCTTTTTTAACATGTGTGATTCATTTACTAATTTTCTAGACATTGTTTGCAATATTTTCTTAATTTTTTTATAATTTTCTTCTTTTATGTTCTTTAAAATTAGTTTTTTCTAGAAAAAAAAAAGTTGATAGCTTTTTTTTTTATATTTTTTTAGATTTTTTTTAGAAATTTTATATTTTTGTTTTTTACATGTTCTTTTTTGTATTCTTTCAATGTTTTAAGGCTAGATTTATTAAAATTTCGGGTTGAGAATTATTTTCAGTTTGTAAATCAGTTTATTTAAATTTCAGTTTATTGCAGCAGTCTGTAGATGGTAAAAAACAAACAGACTTCTTATTACAGGCTGCAATCATTTGGTCCACCTCTTCTGCTGCAGAGGGTTGCAGAGGTGGTCAGCAGATTTTATGAATTTTAGCTTCGAAAAAAACAAACAACACCTTACATGCTTACAAAAATCATAAAACAACCATTTTCATATATTAAGATAAATTCATTTGTTTTGAATTTGTTAAACAATGATCAATGTGATTTCCACTCTACTCCTCTTTGGGTAATAAAAAGTAAGTGGTTACTTTTATTGATGATAACTCTCATTTTGTTAGGTACATTTATTACGCGAAAGATGCAGCTTTCAAATGCAATTGAGAAATTCAATTAAATGTATCAAAGCTGAGGATGGAAATATATGGATGTCACTATTTCCATTCAGTTTGTATCATTCATGAGCTCCATACACACAACAAAATGGTACAGTCGGACGGAAAACCAAGTTTTGAAATAAAATGTTAACTTGATGCGTTTTTACTTATGATGAAGTGAGGTTTTTGGGGAGAGGCTATGTTATGTAAACGACATGTTTTTTAAAATAGAGTTTCAAATAGAAGTTACCAAACAGTCATGTATATTGTATCATCATATAAGTCTTTGTTCAAGAAAACTTCGAATTTAAGGTATTTTCAAGTTTGTGATGTCTTCAGTTGTAAAATTATCCGAACCCAAAAGAAAAACTTTTAGGGAAAGAGGAATTGATTGCATATTAGTCGAGTATGCATACAATTCCAATGCTTGTATGCTTTATGTAAGAGAACGTACTATGTATGTAAACACCGTAACTGTTGTAGAGCGCAATTTATGATTGAAATGTGATTTTTATCAATTTAAAGGCCTAAGGACCTTATTACTAGCACTAATGAAGTGAAAAATCCAAAAAGTTCATATGGTGTTGTTAGACCAAAAAGGCAACCTATACGAAAAAGCAAAAGATGTTGAATTGTAGAAAATTTAAATATGGTTTTCAATTGTATTTGATTGAAGGATCAATCAAGGGACGAAAATAGGATTTTAGTACCCTTATTGCTAGAATATAGATAAGGATGCAAGGACCTTTAAATAGGCTATGGAATATCGAGATGTAGCATTTAAGAATGAAGCAATTGCTGACGAAATGTCATCAATTATGAAAAAGTAACACTTGGTGTTATTAAAAATGCCTTCAGATTCTAAAGCACTTAGGTTGCAAATGGATCTTCATCAAAGAGATGAAAGTTGAAGGGTACATGGATAAGTTTAAGACTTAATTAGATAATTAAGACAAAAACCTATAGCCCTTAGACTATTTTGATATGTATGCTCCAGTAAGACAAATTTTTTACTATTAGATTGTTGATTGTCATGTCGGCTATACACAATTTAGTTATTTATCAAATAGATGTTAAAATAGTTTTTTAAATGGTATCTTGATAAAGAAGTTTATATGAGATAGTCAGAACGTTTTGTCATGCCCGAAACGAACATAATATATGTAAACTTGTAAAATCATGAGTTGACACAAGCACATCAAAAAGTTTTATGAAGTTATTTTGTAAGGTAGTTTTGCTTTAAATCAGTGTGGCAAATGTATTTCCAGCAAAAATTCGATACTTTTGGTGCATGTGTGATTATTTTCATGTGTGTTGATGGCATACTGGTTTTTAGTACTAACCAAAACTAGGTAAATGAAATAAAGAATTCTTTTATGTTATTAAAATTTTCCATAAAGAACATGGAGGAGGAGGATGTATGTAATAATTAAGAAGCCTTATGTGTGTTTGTGGGGGTTGGTGTGTGTGTGTGTGTGTGTGTGTGTGTGTGTGTGGTGGGGGGGGGGGGAGTGAGTGTAGGTAGGTAGGGGTGTGGTGGGTTGGGGGTATTAAGGTGAGGGTAGGTAGAGGTGGATGAGATGGGAGTGAGTGCTTATATTTTAGAAAAATTTTGGAATTAGAAAAATGTGGAAAACAATGATTATCGGTTTTCAAAAAATTTCAAACTTCTTTGTAATTTTAGAAAACGGAAAATTTTCATTTTCCGTGAAAAATTTAGAAAAATAGACGAACTAAACGCGTTTTCAAAATTCTCGTTTTTCTTGGAAACTTATTCTGGAAAACGGCTCATTTTTCCGCAACTAAACGCACCCTTAATCCTTAGGACACCATGATTCTCAAATATCTGAATTGTATAACCATCGGATTAACACTTGATGATATTTATCGTAGGCCTTTAAACCCCAGTTTGCTCTCTAATGTGACCTAGAAAGTTATTACAACAATGATAGCAATATTTATCACATTATATCACATACCATGAACATGATTTGTCAAAGTCTGGGTCCTCCAAATTTTGGTTTTTGAAATTTGAAATTTTCAAAAAAAAGGTCCCTACTGTTTATGTTCTGATATATTTCACCCAAAACAATTAAAACTACTTTATGTATCTTATTTCAATTACTCATGGTCATCACAAAATGCTTCCGATTTAACATAAAATACAGTAAACATCTGTGTGATATCTAATATTCAAATCATTTTTAAAGATGTTTTTTTTTCTTCAATCAAATCTTCAGTATACCGGGATCCGAAATCTTTTCATATTTTTACTTTACTTGATATCGGTGTGCGTCCTTTACAAATACAACTCTATAGATTTTCTATCAAACAACTACTTACATATATATATGTTATATTTTCTCTATAACAAAACTTATCTAACATACCAACCACACAGACAAAAAAACATACCTCTTGCTATCATCATGTTATGTTGGTAGCAAGTCCTCCTCTTGGAAGAAACTATAATCTGAACTCGTCTCAGTCTTTGTAGCATGCTAAAATTTAAAGAAAACAAAAAAGATTAGCAATGTATTTATTCATTCTTATAGCAAAAAATATCAACATGCTTTCATTTATTTGTATCCATTCCTATCTTTTGTAAATAAAAATACCTCAATGGGCTGAGAAGATCTGGTCTGGAGAGGAGGGACAAGGGATGACCAAAGAACAGGGTCTCCCAATGGATCAATAGCATTGTAATTGGTCAAAAAAGGAGCCAATGCAGGGTGAAGAGCTGCCATTCCTTCTTCACCTTCCATTCCTAATCCAAATTCACTTGTTGTGCCATCATCATCATTATCATTATCATTATCATGACTTGATTTCTTCTCAACAGCAGCCTTACCATAATCAATCTTGTTGATGTTATTTTTGTTTTCGTTTTCATCGTTTTCTTCTTCCTTTTTTAAAGCTTTTTCTTGTAGGCTTTTGTATGCTGCAGATCTTGAGAGTATACTCATGGCAGAAACTGAAGATTTTTTATGTTGTTTTGATTCATGGGAGAGGGAGACGCCTAGACGAGGGAGCTGATAGGGCTGTGTGGGTTGGATTGCCCATTCTGGTGGTTTGAGTTCACTTCCAATGTCTTCGGAACTACCAGTTGCGTGATTTGTTTCGTCTGATGATTTTTCATGTTGTCGGGATTTGTTGGGCCCCCACCATTTAATGTATGGTGTAAGATCGATTTTTCTATCCATGCAAAATCCACCAACATATTCGCTCTCTGTTGTTGCATCATCACCTGTAAATGAGGATTTAATCATGTGAGTTTCGTGATCACCATGCTTTCAAGAGAGGATGTGGGTGAGTTATTTGGAATAATAATACTTGCTTACCATGATGCATGCAGTTGTTGTAATCAGCTCCAGAAATACGGCCCAATGGTGAGTCCCATCTAGTATTTGATTTATATAAGAATACGAAAAAAGCCAAAGCATGTTATAGATCAAAAAACATATTAACTATATAGTGGTAGTATTTGAGGTATTTGCATGATGAATATAAGATGTTTCCATTTCCACTCATAGTCATAGCATGTGGGACCCATTTGGTTGACAAATTAGATTCCTTCATTATATGCATACCTGGAAATTCCACGACATTTAGAGGTTCCCCTTGAGAACCCGCTACCTTTTCTGTAATGATGATGAACAAAATAAGAAAAAGCAACTAGGTAGAAATAGTCATGGACATGTGTGTATTTTTACATTGCATACCTTCTGAGTGATGCAAGGTAATCCTCTCTTGATAGATTTTGCATCTCTTCAAGGTCTCGTGTATAATCTGTGACCTGGCACCAACAATATGTATATTGATTTAGTGTAGGGAGATAGTGATGGAAAAAACTCAAGAGTTTATTTATGCTTCGGATAAAAAAAAATACATTTATGAATCATCTAAATAGGAAGAATGCAACTATTCATGCAATCCTAGGTAAAATTTCATAAGACAATTGCTCACCGGAAAATTAATGAGTGTCCCAGGGCCCCAATACTTCAAGGCAGCAAGATCATATGCTCTTGCAGCAGCTTCCTCATCATCATATGCACCTAAAGACATGTTTTGTTTGCCCATAAGAAATTACAAGTGACTGTAGACATTCTTCTACTAATGGAAATGGAATTAAGTTTCAGGAGAAGATCTATTTAACATCCTTACCTAAATAAACTGTTGAAATAGATGCCAAAAAGCATGCCCAGACCCATACAAAAAGAAAACATAAATCAGATTAGAAACATACAGAAAGAAATTCTCATGATTCTTGTAGCATACATGCATACAAGCTAACATACACACACATAGGGAGAGAGGATTAGACCTTGTTTGCCCTTCTTATTTTGATTCTGATTCCATGTACTTTTATCCCATAGATGTGCTTCGTAACGACCAGTCCATCTATGCCTAGTACCATTTAAACACATGAATCAAAATCTCAAAAAGAGAATGGAAAGTATAGTAACCTTTGCAGAAAGAACAATTGACTATGGATGTAGTAGAAGTTAAAAAAGTGGTTATGGACAATCATTGCTTCCAGCAACACATGCACAATAACAAAGTTGTAAACAGGTGAGAAGCAACAACCTTTGTGTTATATCTTAAATGGTGCTAAATACATTATTTGTTTTCATCAATTGCTATAACCAACTTCTAAATATGTATAAATTCAAGTTGAGAATAATAAGAACAGGCCTACCATTTGAGAAGTATTCTTATTCTAACTTGCTAATCAATCAGACACTAATCAATAAACGTAAGCTAATTAACTAATAATAAAAAACCCTAACCCCCCAACAATTGCAAAATTTTACTCTAACACCCCTTGATTATTTTCTTTGAAGCTGGTAAACCCTTCCAACAATCTCTGAACTCTGGGTGATGTGGTGTAAAATGCCTAATGCTGTCAATGGGTGTAAGGAGATTGTCATATTATGTTGACACTGATGAAATCGTCATGAAAGATGCTACTAATTGTGTTTGTTCTTTTAGTACAATATCGATGGGCAAGGTTCTTATCAGAATCAAACATGTTGGTGATTTTTGGGTATCTATGTTTCAAGATTTTAGCATCTTATCTTTGTGTGATTTTTATTTTATCGAAATTGTGATGCCACCCAACAGCATCATCCCACAACTGCTTCTTCTTCCTTCATGTTATCCAGATTGTCCGATGCCTGATCTAAAAGTAGAACTCAATAGTTACATCGACCTTAGATTCTGCCCTTCGAAATGGAATCATCCTAAATTTACACCGTTTACAAAGTTGTACTCAAAAAAGTATATGCATAGAGATTGACAAGCATGAGTACAGAGCACTGTACAGATACAAAGCAAAATTACCGATTAAAATCGTATACCTAGTGACGCCACGGTAGATAGAGCTGCGTTTTCCGGCAGCACAAGGAGGCATTTTACTGATGCGTTCTTTTGCCGTACAACCTCTATCCTTCTTCGATTTCTTAATTCCTCTGTACTTGACCATCAACTGTTGCTGATAATTGTTCCCCTTTCCTACCAGCGCCGCAGCCGCCGCCATCCCAATCGTGGATGCCGCTTCAGAAGTTTCACCGCCACTGGCACTGCCTTCCGATTTCATTACAGGATCAGAGGAAGATGCAGTAGCCATTGGTTTGAACCCTAAAAAGGAGAGATTTTGCAAAGAGATCACAGATAACTAACTGTGTCTGTGTGTGAATGTGTCCATTCGTCAGCAAGAGGAAAACAACAGTGTGGAGAGGGAGGAGGAGTAGGACTGGAGTGATTAATTGTGAAATGACGAAAGTGTCCTTGACTGCTGTGTAGAAATCCTGCATAACGGCTACAAGGGGCAGCGAGGGTTGAAATGTAATTTTGGAATGTTTGTTTTAAAAACTGATTAAAGGTCAGGAATCACTACTCAGGAGGTGATGACTGAAAGGATTCGGCGACACACGTGTCCCCTGCCACCTGCTCCTCGCCAAACTTTCATAAACACAACCCGGGAATCTTAGGCGAGTCTAATCGTAACTCAAATGAGTGGACTCGCCCATGACTCGGAATCGAATAACAATACACTTTCGTATTTTTTTTACTTTTGAAAACTGAAATCATTTTATTGGTAATTTAAAAATTAAACTTGTCGAAAAAGTACTTTTTATGTGAGTACAAAATTAAGAAAATCATATAACAATATTATTTTATATATTATAATCATTAGATTAATTCATTTTTAAGATTTATACAAATCGATTATTCTATTTGTCTTCTTGTCAATAGATTTGGGGTGTAATACAAGATATTAAGATCTCATGTCTTCTTGATAATAGATGTTATCCTGATAACATATTGTAATGGGAGTCTTTATTTCTTCTCATTGATTGCACATATTTATCTCTCTATCACTCTCTCCTCTTAAAACTATGTCATAACATGGGAACAACACCCCCACTTCATGTTATAACATGTTGTCCGTTTCCTCCAATTTGTGTTATAACACCATTTTGAAATGACTGGTGAGGTGACAACTTTGGGGCGTAATAACATGTTGCTCACATCCATTAGCCTAAAAGATTGATGGATAAATTAACGTTCAAAATCATAACATTTTGTTTTATTGGTCATGGTATCTTTTAACTGTGCTAAAAAAATTACAATGAACTTCCAAAAAAGATATAAAGTTATCAATTCATGATGATTATACCAAAGAACAATAACAGGTGGGAAAAAAAACAAAAGTTCTACTCTTGTCCTTCAAGAACTAGAATTTTTAATATATTTATTGAGAATTAAAGGCAGATATTAGATTAAGTATTATTCAAAATGTATTAAAAAAACAATTTTGCCGACCAAAATCAAATAATCAATATTTATTTGACAAGATTGGTAGGTTGTATTTCATTAACAGTTGATAAAATAGGAAAAAAAATTCATAAAAGAAACATATCAAATGAGTCAAAAGCTGTGAAGCCTTTTGAATTCTTTTATTTAAAAAGATAAAACTTATTTTTATAATGTAATTTTTTATAAAAATATAAAATTAATAATAATAATAATAAACTGTTTAACATCGATATTATATTATATATTATTCAAAATATATAAAATAGCAAATGTAATAACCAAAACCAAAGACATTAGTATTAGCTTTTCTATATAACGAGTTAGTTTTAGTTGTAGTTCATTAACAATTTATTAAATATCAAAAGTTTGCTGTAAAAGAACAGATAAAATGAGTCAAAAGTTATCAAAACTCTTCAGTCCTTTTATTTAAAAAGATAAAATTATTACTTTAATAATATAATTTTTGTAGGATACGTTAATTATCCATAAAAAAAATTAAAAAAGTGTTTTTTTCTCAACCAAACAAGGAGACCAAAACAAAAATGAATTCTTTTACATAGTTTAAACCTTAGAAACAACAAATAAATATGTAAAGTATTTTATTTAAGGGTTAAATTCTTCATCGGTTAAATTATTTACCTATTTTTTTAATATATGCAACAAAATAATTCTTTAGTTCAAACTCGCAAAGACATCTAATTATATAAACTAATTGCATGCACTTCTGCGGCATCGTGTGGAATGCAAAACTTAGTTACGATGAAAATCTGAGTACATAACAATTATAAGGTTGTGTTTGGCGCGCCACAGATAGCTGATAAGTACATAAGCTAGTTTATTTTTCGAGTTTTTTTATGTTGTTGTATTTGGTAAGCCAAAAAGTAGCTTATAAGCTAGCTTTTTGAAAAGCTACTTAGACTAGTTTTTTAGGAGCTTTTCTAAAATTTTCCAAATACACCCCTTAATTAATTATAGAAACACATACTATTACATGTCCTTTTATGTAATTTTATATATTTCAGCTAGTTTTTCAGCTAGTTTTACCAAACATTATTTTTTATCAGCTAGTTTTTCAGCTATCAGCTAGCCTTTTATTTAACAGCTAGCTTTTCAGCTAGTACGTCAAACATAGCCTAAGTAAATAGAAAAATACATTATATATATTGAAAAAATAAAACACAAAATACATTGTGATTTTCTACACGTTTTGTATGATTCAATCATCTTATACTACTCATAAGCCTCAACTAATGCTTCATCATTACAATTAATTTGATTAAATATTCATTAGTTGATGTAACTTTGAACAACTAATTCTTTGTAGGGAAAATGACTTATATAGGTAACTATGTTTCAAAATCGTTCAAAAAATATCATTCAAGTTTGGTGTGTCCAAAAAAGACTATCCAAGTAAAGCATTTGTACAAAAAACACCAACGAAGTACATTCTTTGTTCAAATTTGACCTTGTGGTAACCGGCAATTACCGGTAAAAAATAAGTAAAGGAAAAAAAAAACAAAAAGACATGACTCAAAGGGGTAACTATGTTTCCAAATTGTTCAAAAAACACCATATAAGTTTGGTATGTTTAAAAAACACCATCCAAGTATACTTTTTGTACAAAAAACATCAACAAACTATATGTTTTGTTAAAGACAAAATTGCAAAAATGGTCCCTGTGGTTTGCTGAAAATTGTCACTTTGGTCCAAAAAGTTTTAGACTAGCACCACAGGTCCAAAGTTTTCATTTTGTTGCGAGTTTGGTCCAATTTACTTTAAAAAAATTTGTAATGACGATTTTACCCTTCTTTCTTGTTTTTTTTTTTCTGTTTTTATATTTATTTAAATATTTTCATAATTAAAAGAAAAATAAAAAAGAAAATAATTCTCTCTCTCTCTCTCCCCCCCCCCCCCCCCCCCATAAATGACCATTCGTGTTTTTTTAAGACCCAAAAGAAGGCAGCATCCTCCATTACCCCAACACCACCGAGGACCACCTTGCTCCACCACAACATCACCGCTGCCACCACCCGTTGGCTCGCTGCTTTCACCGATCAAACCCAACTCAACACCCTTCCCTTCCTTCGTTCATCGTCGTACAACAAGAAAACAGGAAGCGTCATTGCAAGTAGAGGAGAAATCGAACACCAAGTTCGATTTTGGAGGGTTCGATCCTTGGTTCCTTGCTCATCGCAGGCCAGAAAGGGGACTGAGGGAGGTATCAGCGATTGCAGATCGTGAGGAGGGAGAAGTCTTCGGGTCGACGAGAGCTAAGCGACGCAGGTGGGAAGAAGCAGCGAGCGGCTGTGATTTCGGGGCTGTTGGGTCGTGGATGAGCAAGGGAAACACCATCGTTGTTTCATCTCCTTCATTATTCAATCCACTTCTAAATCAAACCTTCGGTAATCAGATATCAATTTTTGACTATCCGAAAGTCAAACCAGATCAAAATCAATTATTCAATTCGAATTGTTTGTTATCCAAAATCGATTTCAGTCCTGTTTTGCTTCAAGCCTTCGTTATCACCTTTGTCAATTGAAATTAGAGACCATCGATGGGTTTTTTTGGTGAGGAACAGAGAAAAGGGAACATATCTGTTTGTGCGTGTGTGTTTTAATTTTTGAAATCAAGTTCCACAAACCCAACAAAGGAAATACAAAATCAGTTTCATAAATGAAATACAAAATCGATTTCAAAAACGAAATATAGGTGTGCATCTGATGCTTTTGGTCTTGAGTTCTTGAGTTACAAAACCGATTTCAACTGTGTGTGTTTTTTTAGGAAGAAGATGAGAGAGAGAGAGAGAGAGAGAGAGAGAGATTTTCTTTCTTTTTTTAATTGGAAAAGTATTTTTAGTAAATAAATAAACTGAAAAAGAAAAAAAGTAAGGGCAAAATCGTCATTATAAAAAAGATCAATAGAAGTTGGACCAAAATCACAACAAAATGAAAAGTTTGGACCTCTAGTGCTAGTCCAAACTTTTTTGGACCAAAGTGGCAATTTTCAGCTAACCACATGGACCATTTGTGCAGTTTTGTCTTTGTTAAAATATTACCCGTACAGATTAAATGATGACTTGGCCTAACTATTATGACATGGCATAATAATTATTGACAAAACAATAAATTATATATTCCTCCTTTAAAAACCGATTTAGGGTTTCTTCATGAACGAATGACTTCTTCTTCTCTTATGAATTACTCTTCTTCTTCTAAAGTGATGATCTCGAACTCAAGTCCAAAACCCTAATTCTTGACTTAAGGCAAAAAGGGCTCATTTACCCCTGCCTCAATGGGCCTCCCTCTCCTAAGGCCCAAATCCATTAAAAGCTCAAAAAGGCATCCAAGCCCAACTACAAGGTCTCTAATGCCCAATATGGCCCAAGAACCCCCAACATGGCCTTAAGCCCAAAAATGACTTGCTACAGTTAGGTGGGCCTGAGGACTAACTTAAACAAGTCCATGCATACGCCCAGCATATGTTGAAGCCTCTACGATCCGGATGTCGAGCCAGTACGCCTGACGTACTCGGCTAGGGTCAAGAACCACCAATCTTCCGAAGGCCATAACTTCTTCATTCTAAGTCCGATTTCATCATTCTTTATATCCACGGGAAAGAAACGAGAAGCTCTAAACTTCTATCAACTATCACTTGCCTTAAAACTTTTGTAACATAAACCCAAACTTCATAAAGGCTCGAACTGATACTTACTGATATGCCCTTGGGCTCCAACACAAACAAAACACTCGGTCCCCACAACCTACATTATCCATCACCAAATGGGCATTACAGACACCACGACTTGTTACGAACAAATATAAATTTGAATACATCGTACACAAGTATCAGAACCATATCCTAGGAAACATGCAAAAGAAATAGTATGAAACAATAAAATAACAAGGAAATGACACGAGACGTGCCTGTCTGTAGACATGATAATAAATGAAGGACCGGTCAAGACTATAAACTCTTCTAACAACGAGCGGCCTATAAATACCCCAAAGACATGATATCCGAGGTGAGAGCAGATTCCCGGATGCTTATTGGTCTGAGACTTTTAGGTGAGAGAGCTAAACATGTACCTGGAGTTCGATGTAACATCATCTTCCTTTAACCTACAAGATCTAGTTACCAAAGGGTAACCTTTGAAAAAAATTGTATAGTTTGTTGGTGTTTTTTGTACAAATACCTTCCTTGGATGGTGTTTTTTGAACATACCAAACTTCTATGGTGGTTTTTGAACGATTTTGAAACATAGTTACCCTCTTGAGTCATTTGGTCTTGTTTTTTTCCTATAATTATTTTTTACTTGTAATTTTCGGTTACCATAAGGTCAAATTTGAACAAAGAATATAGTTCGTTGATGTTTTTTGTACAAACACTTTACTTTGATGGTGTTTTTTGGACACACCAAACTTAAATGGTGTTTTTTGAATGAATTTGAAACATAGTTACCCATATAATTCATTTTCCCTTCTTTGTAATCCATATCCATATTCATTTGATGCATGCGATTGTATAGCTATAATGTTATTCTTCAAGTGCAATTATCTTTCCTCAATTTTATCTTATATGTTTCTTATGCATATTCACTTTCACTACTCCATCATTTTGTTTGTTCTTAAAAAAATTCCAAAATTTCTTAACCAATCCTCTTTAAAATTCAAAAACCCTAAATTCTGGATTTTAAATTACAATTACAAAGTTAAAAAAAAAAAGGTACAAAGTTGTTGCTTTATCAAAACAATCAACCCTAAAGGAGTAAGGACTCTTATCCTAACAATCAAATTATACAATTTACAAGATTACATTATACAAATTTACAAGATCCTATTAATTCAAGGCCTCACAATGTTGCAAAAACTAAACACATGTTTTTCTTCTCAAGCTCTCTGTAAAAATCATGAAAAAGATGAAGCAGATTAATTGCTAACTGAGAAATAATAATTTTAATAAATAAATAAATAAAAGTAAGATGCATAGCAAAAGGCCAAAAGCATACCAACTCTATTTTGTATGATAACAGAATATTCAGGCCCACTACTCTGTGCAAATGCAAGTATACTTTGATACATGTCACCCGAAGCCTCAACACCAGAATCCTCCATCCACTGCAATACCTATTGAAAAAATCATCAACATTTAAACAAAAATAACAAATAACTGATGCATGATTTTATGATTAATGAATAAATAGCTTTAAGTAAATAAATGGTCACCTCAAGGTACTTTCTCCAATTTCCAGCAGCCAAAAGATTTTTTAGTAACACCAAATAAGTAGATTTATTAATTTCAGCACCCGTTGCCACTATTTTATAAAATATCTGCATAAACCATAACAGACATCGGTCTCAGACTTAGTCCAATGCATGTCAAATACATTACAACATATTTTTTTGTTCTTTAGTTTCTTGAATTATAAAAGTTGTCACCTTCATCATGGTCTCAATCTTCCCCAATTTACCAATACAATGTAAAAGCTGATTCATGAGTCCAATCGACATTACATTGAATGATGCCTCCATCATTCCAACTAATTCAATTGTCTTCTTCCAATCTCTTAGGCTAAAATCAAATACAAACCCATTACATTACTACTTATTATGCAACAAACTAATCTTTATAACAAAATATAATATAATGGAACTTACATACTACATGCAGAGAGCATCTCAAAGTAAATGGCATCATTCATTGGTATCTTTCTCTCCTGCATAAATTCAGCTACAACAAGAACTTTAGCAGGTTGATTCCCTTTATTAAAAGCTCTCATCAATGCTGAACAAGCAATAAGATCTGGCTCCACACCCTTCATTTCCATTTCTTGAAACAATGCAAATGCATCATCCCATTTTTCTGCAACAAAATTCATATCTTTAACAACTTTTTTTTTCTCAATACTCAAACGAATGTCAACTTTGAAAGTGATTATCAGTTTTGTAAGAGCATTCATTACCTGCATCACTATAAGCATGTAGCATTGTTGTATATGCAACAACATCAGGACCATCATGTGTCATCTTCATTTTTGAGAACAGAGACTCTGCTTTCAAAAGTTGACCCTGATAACAGAGAGAAGACTCAACAACCTTTCTAGGGATATTTTACATGATGATGAGGGCATTTACGTCTTTTTCACAGACAAGAACAAAAATTGCAATTTTGTCCCATTGACACCAGTCTCAGTCCCAATCCAAAGCACAGCAAATGCAGTACAACCTGTTATGTCATGTCATGTTTACCTGGTTGCTATAGACAGAAATGGCAGATGAAAGAACCTCATTAGACATTGTTACATTCAAATCCATCATTTCATCAAGAAATTCAAGAGCTTCAGTGTACTTAGACATCTTAGAACAACCATTAATCAACACATTATATGTAACCGAATCAGGTTTCACATTCTTTTCCCTCATCAACCTATACAAATCCAGTGCTTCATCATATTCCCCTCCATTCATATAACTACCAATAGCAGAATTATACGCAACAGTATTCAAACAAATCCCTCTGGAATCAGCAGCAGCAAGAATGGAATCAATCTTTACATTCCGACCATATCGCCCACAGCAAGCCAACAAAGTACTAACCGAAACAACATTCGGTTGCACTCCGTTTCTCTCCATTTCATGCAGCAATTCCACAGCTTCCGGAAGGAAACCATTGGATCCAAAGGCATCAATCAATGCATTATAAGTCACCACATTTGGCTTCAAGTTATTCCTTTTCATCATGTTAAATACCTCCATTGCCCTTTCTGGTTTCCCTGATCTCCCGTAAGCATTGAGTAGGGAAGTATACGATACAACATCCGGACGAAATCCGTTCCGTTTTATATCGTTAAATACCGATAATGCCCCTTCACTCATCCCCCTTGCAGCATATGCTCCTAAAAGTGTGTTGTAAGATATAATATTCGGTTTAAAACCTTCGGAAATCATTGTATCGAAAACTGCTTTGCAGTTTTCGATTTCCCCAGAAACGGAATACAAATGAATGATGCTTGTAAAGGTCACGATATCGGGCCCACATTGAGATCTTTTGTCCCTCATTGAATGAAAGATATTGATTGCTTTTTCAAATTGTTTGAGTTTTATGTGGCAATGGATTATTATATTTAAAGTGGTGGTATCTGGGCGAATTTTTGTTCCTTTCATTAATTCGAAATAGGAGAGTGCTTTTGAGTACTGGGACCCGGTCTTGAAGGCGGATAAAATGGTATTGTGAGTCACGAGATCGGGCCCCACCCCATTTTCTGTCATTCTTTTGGAAACTTTTAGAGCCTCTTTCCAATTTCCACTGGATCCGCATGCATGGATTAGATTGTTATATGTTGACCTAGTTGGTGGAACCTGAAATACCATAATTTGCATAAATAACCAGATTAAGCATGATTCTTAATTGGGCTAAATGCAAGAAATAGCAATGTAATTTCATTTAAAAAAACAAATCAATGAAAGTAGGTTGCTATTTCTTGAAAGAGTCTGAGAATAAAAGATAGGTTATAAGGGAAGAATAGAGATACAGACAGCTGCACGAAGCATGTCTTCCATGATATTGGTTGCCCAACGCCATTGACCAGCTCGACCATGTGCACTTATGAGAGCATTGTAAGTTTCAGCATCTGGTTTGCACCTAAAATGAGAAGACAAGATTTGAAAGTGTTTTTGGTGGCATCAATATGGAATGATGATGTTCAGGAATTAAGAACACCATAATCTGATGAATCCTTACCTCCACTTTTGCATCTCAAAAAACAACCCACGTGCTTGATCTGTTCGATTATGTCTTGCATGTAACCTGATCATCATATTGTATATATCATTGCGTGCACAGTAATTCTTCTGGTTCTTCATCCAATTGAAAACTTGATTACAATGATCGATTGAACCTGTCTGGCTAATTTCCTATACTACCAAATCAACAACACAAAGATGAAATTCAGCTTCACATAATACAAACACGGATCATTCATATCAATTCTGAAGTTGAAATTAGGCTATTCAAACCTAGAAATTCAAATTTGTAAGTATTCCTTCGAAACATATATACATATTACTATGAATTAACTTACCCTGATGAGAATGGAGTAATTTTTCCGTGAAAATCTACCAGCCCATCGATTAAGCAAGCCATCAATGTCTTCGCGTTGATTGAGCTTTAAAATCTTGGAAACCAGCTCAGAAATGGGCCAATCCTTTTGAAACCGGTCACCTTGAACCCGCAGCTGGTAGCGTTTGGGCAAATCCGACTTCCTTACACCGCTGACGTGCACGGATACTTGTCGTTCTCCTCTGTCGTAGTCGACGAACCCCACTAGCTTCTTGGTGTTCGTCTCGTCGGAGCAGCATCGGAGTATAAGTGGAAGAGGTTTTCGTTTGGGTTTGCGGGGAAATGGTGAGGAGACTGAATTGGTGTGGGGATGAGTGGGGGAGAACAAGTGAGAGTGTAGCTGTAAGGATGCCACCATGGCTATGGCTATGGAGCAGGAGGGAGAGGAATGAAGGAAGATATCGAGACATTACTTTCTTGAATATATATATATATATATATATATATTTCTTTATTTAAATTATATTATTATTATTTGATTTTTATGGTTTTACCCAAGTTTTAGCTTTGGCTATTGCTGTTATTTTACCTTCCATTCTTTTCTTAAACTTTTTTTAAATACTAAATAAATTTAATTTAATAAAAAAAACTAAATAAAAAATATGTCATAATTGAAACAAGTAAAACATAACAATATTTACATTTTTTTAAATGTGTAAATTATATATGTATTTATAATATCAGTGTTTATTGGTAAAGCCAATTCAAAGTCATTTCCGGATAAGTAATTGGTGTTTTGCATAAACAATTTTAACTGTTCTTTGGCCCGTTGTTTTTTTCTTCATGTGTATTTTCTTTTTCGAACTTCATATACACATTAAATTCAGATTAAAAAGTTTAAACTTTCTTTTTTGCTTTATCCCGGGTGGATAGATTCTTTAATGTCAACCTCGTAATCATCATCGTATTACGTCTCAAAAAATGTTGGGACACTTGCATGTTAAGATGTGCATCCTTGGGGAAGGGTGAGTATTTATACATGCACTTACAAGTATATTATAAGGCATATATGTATTATTAAAAAGCCATTGTGTGTTATCATTTCATGTGCATACAAAGAAACTTGTATATCAAACATGAACACGAATTAGATGGCAAAGGGCAAGGAATGGTTGGTTTTAGCAAGACCAAGAGATGGAAGAGATAGACATAATATACCCATAAAAATAGGCAGATGTTTCCTCGAGTTTTGTTTTCAAATGCTAAATGGTTGATTTAAAATTTTGATAAATGATTCATGATACATATATGGAATGGAATTCTGTTTTGTTTCAAAACTGTGGTACATGTACGACCTACTCTTCTTAGTCTTGTATCAATTGGTTAGGATCATAAAAGAATCTCACATACATCATCTACATCCGGAAAGATGACCCATCATGCCTTTAAGATCTTTATAGTTTATAGCCTTCACTCCAAATGGGCCCCCCATAATCAAACCCAAAACGTTAAATTTCAGGCTTTCAACTTTCCAACTGTTTTCTTCTTGTTGTTCAGGTGACAGGTGCATTTTTCTTGTTTCCTTTTCTTGTCCACTGTTTCTGTTTCTTAGCACCTGATGAAGATGAAGTGTCCTTTTTTAATGAAGTTGTGGTTTTCCTTTTGGTGCCTTGTGACTTTCGATCCATAGATTTTGCTTGACCAAAATGTTTCACTTGTTTCTTACTACTATCAACATCTTTTCCTCCACGTGAAAATTTACGAGCCCCATATGATGAGCTGCTGTGTTTATCCTCCCTCTTCCTCTTTCCACTTTCCCTTGAATATGCTTCATTAGGTTTCCTCTTTTCCCCACTGAAACAAACAAACAAGCCAAATTCCTTCATTTCCCTCACTTTCTCTATTAAGTCAAACTTTCTACAAACTAAGTTAATCATAGAAAAGTACAGTTTATGAAGTTAGACCTGTTCGGAGTTGTATCAGATGATTCATGATCTGTTTTGGTTGTCACACCTTCCTGTGAACTTTTCTTTCCTTCACGATTCTGTAATTTAACATCATATTTATGCATTATTACTTTTTATCTATTAACTATTTATTTGTTTTTTTTTTACCTCCAGAACATCTTTAACGAAATCTCGGTATTTCTCAGGTACAAGAGATTTGACCGATGCAGAACCACATTTTCTCATCATAATCTCTAGGATCACTGTCACCTGTAAAGTGTAAAGGAAGCTATATTTTTATACTGCATTTTCAAATTTAACATAATAATAATATATGATTTAATTTAAAATTAAAACATACTTTAGATTTGAAATGATGGCGAGAAACAGATGACCATGGCAGAAGACCACTCAGGATATCAGACAAAAGACTCGCCAAGTCTTTCCCTTCAAGGCTCAAAACCAACACCTTGATGAAACCTAAAACAGCCTGACCATATTGCACAATATTGCACAGTCACAACTAACATTTAGCATCAAGATTTAATATATATATATATATATATATATATATATATATATAATAACTCACTTTTATAACTTCAATGGCTTTACTATGCAGCAATTCTAGAATGGATGGCACAAGATCGGGCATCAACTTGCAAATTTTGGAGTCGTTATATATTACTAAAGATAATGCAGAGACTGCACCACTTTTTATGTGAGGAGAAGACCCAGAGAGATACCCCATTATCTGGAAAGTTTAAAATAAATATACAAGCGATTAAATAAAAAAAATGGAATGTTTTCAAAAAGTTTAATAAATCAAGTGAATACCATGGTGACAAATTCATAATAAGGTCCTTTTTCTTTTTGGAGTGAAGATGGTGTTTTTTGCAAGGTACAGCTCATTCCTATAAGAATGTCATATGCCACTTTTCTACTTTCTTCCTTGGACTGGAGAGATCAAAACCAGGAGATTATATTATCAAATTATAAGAAAAATGAAGAAGTTGTTTTAAAAGTAGATCTTACATCTTTTAGTGTGACTATAATTTCATTCAGCATACGAAAACCATAAGTGTTCTCTCCATCAGAAGTTATCTATTAGAAATCATTTAGCAAAGAAAACTGTTAGAGCGAATTTCACACGGTTTATAAACTTAATATAAAAATAAAACTAAAGCAACAACAACAATTTATAATATAACCTCGATGGAATGAATTAACAGGTTCTTGAAGCACGAAAATCTCCATCTAAGTGAAGTAATATCAACTGGGGACTTCAAACCAAGTAACAAATCCATAAGTTCCTCAAATTTTGAAGAGCGGAACTCTGAAGATTCCTGAACAATTTGAACAAAAAAAAACAAGAATGAGACAGATTTCCTTAACTTTATTTAGAAAGTAACTAAGTACTGGTTCTTACCTCCAAAATTTTGTAAAGGGTGGCATATGCTTCCCTCTGGATGTGGTCATCCTCTTCCTACACAAAAAAAAGGAAGAAAAAAAAAAGATTTATCGTATTTGCTTGTTTGTATAAATTTAAATTAAAAAACAGACTAAAAGCACACCTTCAAACTCTCCTTGATAAAGCTATATATGAGATCAATAAGATCCATGCTAGCTGTCCCAACAACAGATGATGCTAGCTCAAGTATCAGACACTTATTTGCATTTTTCTTTGAAGAGGATTTATCATCTTTTGCATCATCTCCAGAAACATCCACCTCTATTCTTTTTAGTGATGAAACAAAAACTGCTTTTATTGTTGAAGGTTCAGTTATAGATGCCAAGCATTTAATGGTGTCCTGGAAATACATAATAATGAAGTCAGAAACCAAAGAATACAAATTAGTGAAGAGATAAAATTACAATCATAACCTTTACAAAAGCGCGCTTCTCGAATGGCACTCTAAAAAGAACTTTTGTAAAAGCCTTCAATGACCCCTCTGACCATGATGACAAAGCTTTGATGTTTTTGGTTGCAGTTTTTTTAGAGTAACTAATCTTTGGAAGCTTAGAAGCTTCATCATCACCAAGAAAGCTCCTATTCTGCTTCACAAGATGCTATAAAAAAAAAAGTCAACCATCAAGAGAAACAAATCTTACAATAATATAAATTAGAGATATTTATTACCTGCAATGCAATGGCAATATACTCGAGCATAATCGCATCCTTTTTGATGTGTGGAATCAGAAGTTTAGCCAAGGATCCAAATTTTTTATACGTGTCGTTTGGATAGCAGCAGAAGGCAGGCAATAGACCCCAACAGCCACGTGCGTGGGACTGCAATTGTTCTCTAATTGCTGACTTTTTAACTTGCAAGAAAAAACATATATATAAATATATATATATATATATATATATATATATATATATATATGTCATGATACTTTTCAAAATCCAAAACTATTCTATAAATGAGGGAGTACCTTTTTGGCATGCTTCTTGGAAAGATTCGGCTATAGGCACTATACTTTCAATAAAGAACCCCAAAGATGATCCATTAACATACTCCTTCAAAATTGGTATCAACCAAGTATTTGAGCATGTGAGATCACTGGCATCAAGGGAGATAGGTAACACTGCAAGTAGTTTATCTGGTCCTATAGCAACTACAGCAGACCCGATGCACTGTTGAAGCTGTAATATCAAATATCAAAACAGAACATTATGTTAATATAATGCCATAATGGATACAAGAAATACATGGCAATGAAGAAAAAAAAACTTACATGCTTTACATCAGAAGGATTTCCGGATGCAAGTGTCATAAAACTGGCAAGCTTTAGAAGTATGTTCTCCATGTAAATATGAGAAATCTTCCCTAAATATCATAAATAATAAACAAAGAGCAGTATCAGGTGCTTATGACAGTGACAATGATCCATACAAATAGTAATTGGAATTTGGACATACCAAGTTTGAGAAATAAAAGAGAAATGACAGCCAAAGTATGCTCATTTGGAGTTCCTTTATGGGTACTCAGAATTTTTAGAAGTGCATCACATAAGGATTTAACTATTCTTGATTCCTTGGATTCAACATTATTTTCATCTGTGAGGATATCTACATCGATATGACGGTTTATCATTTCTTTTAGAATATTTGAAGCTTTTGTAGCTGTAGCCTCAGATGTCAGAAGACCTAAAAACACATGTACAAATTTAGTCAACTAATACAATCATATAACTAATCATATCATGCAAATATATATCATATATGTCTACCCGCTATAGAACCGATGACTAAGGAGTAATGGCTATTCCATTTGTTTGCATCTCCAACTTGAAATTTGGTAAGAAAATTCTCAAGTAGAGCTGCTGCAGAAAAAAGAGTGTCTACTGGGTTCTGTTTTGTAGATATATATGAAGCAAGTGTTGTTACTATTTCTAAGGTATCAGGAATTGTAGATTCATCTTCCAATAATCGAAGTATCTCCTCCATAACATCAAAAACATGCCTCGTTAATGGTGAAAACTTTGCACTTATAGATTTTTGTAATTCTACAACA